TACACATGTGTCCTTATTCCCACATTACCTCCCTATCCTCCCCACTACTGCCCTCAACCCCTGTTGTCTGTGTCCATTAGTTAGGCCCATATATATGCATACAGGTCCTTTGGTTGATCTCTCCCTCTTAGCCCACCTTCCCCTACCTTCTCTCTGAGGTTTAATGGTCTGATCAATGTTTCTCTGTCTCTGGATCTATTTTTGTTCATCAGTTTATGTTCATTATATTCCATAAATGAATGAGATCATGTGATATTTATCTTTCTCTGACTGGCTTATTTCACTTAGCATAATGCTCTCCATTTCCATCCATGCTGTTGCAAATGGTAAGAACTCCTTTTTTATCACAGTGTAGTATTCCATTGTGTAGATGTACCACAGTTTTTTAATCCACTCATCTGCTGATGGGTACTTAGGCTGTTTCCAAATCTTAGCTATTGTAAATTGTGCTGCTATGAACATAGGGGTGCATATATCCTTTCCTATTGGTGTTTATAATTTCTGTTCTCCACAGTGGCTGCATTTCTACCAGCAGTGCACTCTAAGTACTTTAATATATAGTGTTTTCATGATCATTTATTGCTAAATAGTTTATAATTTCTATTTTTATTTTCTCTTTGGCAAAGTTTATTAAATATATGTTTAGGATTCCACATATATAGATTTTTACTGCCTTTTTGTTTTAAAATTTTCATGTAATTTTGTTGTGGGCAATGAAAGTGGATATGTATATTTTTTCTTTTTGAGAACATATTAAAATTTTAATTGTGGCTGATTATATTATCAATTTTTACGATTATCTGTTTAGAAAAAAAAATTATTAGATATATGTTCCAGTATATTCATACATCAAACTTGTTAATTAGGTTATTCAAATTCTCAATATCTTTAACTGTTTGTCTTGTCATTGTCCATTTCTGTGTGAAATGTGTTAATATATCATTATTAACTTGTTTTTATTGGATTTTTCTTTACATATTTTGAGGTATGTTTTGATATACAAAAGTTCATGATTATCATTTTTCTTGGTGGATTCAAAATTTTATGAAAGCGAAAGGGTTAATCCATTTAATGTTTTGCTGTTTATTAATATTAATATATATTTTATCATTTTAAAGCATCTGTCTTGTATATATTTTCCTAACCTTTGATTTATACATTCCTTATAGAAACTGGATAAATTATCCTTTGAATTCTTCATTTATAAATATAAATAGACAATAAAGGATCTTCAGACTTTTTTCTAAAGCTATAATTTTATTTTGACTCTTTAAAATTTCATTTTTTAGTTATAGTTAACATTAAATATTATTTTATATTAGTTTCAGCTCTATAGCATAGTGGTTGGACAACCATATAATTTACAAAATAATCCTTTGATAGTTCAAGTATCCATCTAGCTATTATATAGCTATTACAATATTATTGACTATATTTTCTATGCTGTACTTTATATCCCTTTGACTATTCTGTCACTACCAATTTGTACTTCTTAATGTCTTTACTTTTTTCACCTGGCCCTCTCCCTTCTGGAAACTATCAATCTGTTCTCTGTATCTATGAATCCATTTTAATTTGTTTGTTCATTGATTTTGTTCATATGGTATTTATGTCTATGTCTGACTTATTTCACTTAGCATAGTATTTTCTGGACTCATCCATGTTGTCACAAATGGCAAAATTTCTTTTTTTGTGTGGCCAATTAGTAATTCCACTTTATGTATGTATCACCACTTTTTGAAATTCACTTGTCTATTGGTGGGCACTTGGGTTACTCCCATATATTGGCTATTGTAAATAATGCTGCAATGAACATAGAGGTGCATATATTTTTTCAAATTAATGTTTTTGGTTTCTTTGGATATATTCCCGGACATGGAATTGCTGGCTTGTAAGGCAGTTCCATTTTACATTTTTTGAGGAACCTCCATTCTGTTTTGCACAGTAGCTGCACCAATCTGTATTCCCACCAACAGTGTACAAGGGTTTTTTTCCTCCACAGCCTCATCAACACTGTTGATTTATTAATGATAGCCATTCTGACAGATGTGAGGTGATATCTCATTGTGGTTTTAGTTTTCATTTCTCTGATGATTAGTGATATTGAGCATATTTTCATATATCTATTGGCCATTGTATGTCCTCCTTAGAGAAGTATCTGTTCAGGTCCTCTGCCCATTTCTAAATTGGATTTTTCGTTTTTTTAGTATTAAATGGTATGAATTCTTTATAAATTTTGGATATTAACCCCTTATCACTGGTAAATATCTTCTTCCACTTACTAGGTTGTCTTTTCATTTTGTTGCTAGTTTCTTTTACTGTGCAAAACTTTTTAGTTTTATGTAGTTTCATTTGTTTAGTTTGTCTTTTGTTTGTGATATATCAGAAAAAATATTGATAAGAGAAATATCAGAGCATTTACTATCTACTTTTTCTTCTGGAAGTTTTATGGTTTTAAGTCTTTCATTTAAGTAAGGATCTTCAGATTCTCAAGGGAAGCCTCAGATATGAAAGGCAAAAGCAAAACAAAGGGAAAAAATGATATGATGAGCTACAGAAAACTTTAAAAATATACTAGATATATATTCAAAAAGGCAAGAAATAGTACCCATGAAAAAAGAACAAGGGGTAGTAAAATGGTGACCTTAACTTACTAAAAATTGTAATTAAAATATGATAGCTAAAAGTAAAATTTTTAGACAGGATGGAAAATAATGAAAGTGGAACATAATGTCAAAATTGATGAGATGTCGTCAAAACCGGTTTGGCTCAGTGGATAGAACATGGGCCTAAGGACTGAAAGGTCCCAAGTTCCATTCCGGTCAAGGGCATGTACCTTGGTTGCGGGCACATCTCCTGGTAGTGGGTGTGCAAGAAGCAGCTCATCGATATTTCTCTCTCATCGATGTTTCTAACTCTCTATCCCTCTCCCTTCCCTTCTGTAAAAAATCAATCAAATATATATTTTTTTAAATTGGTAAAATGGCAAAGAAAGGTTAAGAAAATCAGAAGATATTTCCAAGGGACCTCACATCCAAAACAATAGGAAAATGTTCTGAAAAGAAAACAGAAAATGGAGGAGGAGGGAATTATTCATCCTAGCAGAACATTCTTGGAACTAAAGAACATCAGTTTTCAAAGCAAATACCATGTGCCCAGCACAGAGAGGATAACAAAAGACTAACATAAGGATATATTGTGATCAAACGAGGAAGATCTCAAAGCTTCTGAATCAAGGTAGATGTGGAATAGAGAGGGCCTTCCATGCAGTATCATACAGAGCAGCAAGAATTAAAATGTCATTGGACTTCTCAGAAGCAGCAGTGGAAGTTAGGAAACAGTAGAACAGTACCCTAATTTTATATGGAAGAATATTTTTCTCATTTGTAATTCTAAATCCAGCCAAAGTGTCCAGTCTAAGATAAAAGAAAGACAATTTCAGTTATTCAAGGTCTCAAACGTACCTCCCAATGCACAAAAAGATCCTGGAGGGCTTATTCCACTTCAAAGGAGTAAACCAAGACGGAAGACTTTAGAACCAGAATGCAGATCTCACATGAAAGAGTCCCTGAAATGATAAGGGAGAGGAGTCCCCTAGTGACAGTTGCATAGTCAAACCAGAGCATAACCTGGACTAGCGCAGGAGAGCTCTAGGAAGGCTGTCTCCTGGAAAAGAAATGATATGGAAGGATTATCTAATGTATCTCAAGGCACTGAGAGAAAAGAATCAGACCAGTGGTAGGTACACAGAGAACTGAGAAAGAAGAAAAGGAGATGGTTTTTATTCCCGAGGCAACAAAAAATGTGCAAGAAAAGAAATGTGATCATGGCATAAGATGTGGCTCATTAGTGAAGAATAATGTAATTACTAAATAAAAGATTGACCTGTATTGGGAGGATGAGGAGAGCAATGCTGTGTGTGTGTGTACAGGAGTGTAGGTGTGTACTAGTAGATATGAGTAGGAAGGTCAACTTTCATTAGGATTGTGGAAGAGACTGCTGGCTGCCTACCTTAACATTCATTCTTCCTTGCTCCTTAGTAATAGAATTGTGGATATATCTTTGGGGACGAATCTTTTCAGTTAAAACTACATTTCCCAGCTTCACTTGCAGCTAGGGATTGCCATGTGTCTAAGTTTAGCAGAAATATTCAATGGTACTTCTGGAAATCTCCTTAAAAGGCACAGAGTGAGCCATTATTCTCTTCCTGCCACTGGTCTGGAATGGGAAAGTAATTGATGGAATTTCTGCCATTATCATGGTCTATGAAAATAAAAGATGCGCACCAAATATGTAGAACAAAGAGTTGGAAGGGTCCTGAGGCCTTGATGACACTATAAAGCTACCATATCAACATTAGACTGGCTACCAGTACATTGGTTTTATGCAAGATAATATACTTGTATCTTAAGCCATCATATTCAGGTCTCGGTTATATGTAGCAGAATCATATCTTAACTGAATTGTAATTCATTAGATAATACCTAAAATTAAATATTAATGAATAACAGTACAAGCGTAGTATTTCATTATAGAAGTCAATATAAACAGGAAGAAACTTAAAAGGAGTTGGTTTGGGCAGTGCGAATTGGTAAAGGATCACTTTTTTCTTACAACTTTTAATCTAATAATTTACATTTTAAGTTATGTATGTCTTACTTGAGTAAAAATAAGTTTATATTTCTTTAGTTACATTTAACTTAATATTTCAAGTAAAAATACATGTACATTGTAAAAATTCAAACAGAGAGTAAAAGTTATACTTCCCTTCAAATGTTCTTTGCCTGTCCACTGCCCATCAGTTTTACTGTCCTCCCCAGGAGTAATGGCTGTTTGATATGTGTCTCCATACCTTTTCTGAACACTCATTAAGTATATAGAGAGATGCAGTTTTCTTCTTTTATTTATTTTTATTAAAAGTGTATTTAAATATTAATTTAAGAAAGTGTGCATGAGGAAATACTTAGGCTTGTAATAGATGTTGTTTGTTTATATTTTAGAATCCAAGCTGGAAGCATACAGTTAAAAAATCAGCAAAATGAAATTCAGAGATTACAGAAAGAATTGAATCATTTACAATATGAGTTAGAAATTAAACAAAGACAATCACAGGTCCTCAGGTAAGATTATCTTTACTTACTTGAAAATTATAAAGGTCGAAAAGATACATTTAATTCTAGCTTTATAAACATTCAAACACAATGTAGTAGTATAGTTTCTGTATTCAGTGTGCTTGAATAAAATTGAAATAACTTCACTTGTTTTTTTTTGTTGTTGTTGTTTTTACCATTATCACAACTGAATGGTTTTATTAATAAAATTTAAGTTAGGCAAGCATGTTGTTCTTATTTTGCAGTGACATTCAGATTGAAAACACAGTAACCAATACATTTTCCCTTTGACCAGTATTTCTTGGTGTATTTTATTTCCTGGCACACACAAAAATTTTTTTTTGAAATATGAATTACTTGTCCTTTTTCTTATTTGTAAATCTATTTAGACTCCATCATCTTTGAAAATTTTCATGCCACTTCCCAAAAATCTCTCTTCATAGCTCTCTTACTTTCAAGTCAACTCTTCAGCCTTATTAAGGTTTCTAGTATTTTTCTCTGATTTTTCCCAACCATTTTTTGGCTTTTGTATTTTAGTCTTGATCAAAGCAGCTTTATTGAGACCTAATTGCATTTTATAAAACCCACACATTTTAAGTGGCAATGCAATGATTTTTAGTAAACTTACTGAGTTGTGCAACCCACAATCTTCATATCATTTGCATTTAATCTCTGCTCTTACCACCAGTCCTAGGCAACCTCCTTCCTGTTTCTGTAAATTTGCACTTTTCTGGACATGTCAGATATGTGGAAAGATATGTGATCTTTTACATCAGGCCTCTATCACTATGTGTTTTTTTTTGAGGTTTATTCATGCTGTATCATGCATCAGCACTTTGTTTCTGTTTTTATTGCTTTAATAGTTTTCATTGTGTGGATACACCACATTTTACTCATCCATTTACCAGTCGGTGGACTTTTGGATTCTTTCCACTTGACACTTATGAATAATGCTACCGTACAAGTCTTTGTGTGGATGTATGTTTTATTTCTTTTGGGTAAATCCCTAAGTGTGGCATTACTGAATCATATAGTAATTTTAAATTTAACTTTCTAAGAAACTGCCAAACTATCTTCCATGTGGTTGAACCAATTTATAGCCCCATAAGGAATGAGGATTATAGTTTCTCTGAATTCTTACCAACACGTCTTATTGTCTGTCTTTTTTATTATAGCCATCTTAGTGAGTGTGACATGATATTTCATTGTGGCTTTGGTTTGTATTTTCCAAATGACCAATGATGGTGAGCACCTTTTCATGTGCTTATCAACCATTTGCATATTTATTTGGTGAAATATCCATTAAAATATTTTGTTTTGTTTGCCAATGGTCTGTTTTCTTATTGTAGGATTGTAAGACTTCTTTATATGTTTTGGGTGAAGTTCTTTATTTGAAGTATGATTTGCAAATATTTTCTCCCAGCCTATTGTTCATGTTTTCATTTTTGTAACAGTCTCTTTTGATGAGCAAAAGTTGTTATTTTTAATAAAATAAAATGTATCAATGTTTTCTTTAATGGGTTATGCTTTTTATAATATACCTAAGAACTCTGACTAACCAAAAGTCACAAAGATTTTCTCCTGTAGTTTTTTCTGGCACTTCTCTAGTTTAGCTCTTACATTTTATGACTGATGTATGGCAAGGATCTAAATTCATCTTTTTTTCTTGTGGATGTTCAATTGTCCCAGCATCATTTGTTTGAGAGACTATTCTTTCCCTATTAAATCATCTTAGTGGCTTTACCTAAAATAAGTTCACCATAAATGTGGGGAATTATTTCTGGGCTTTATTCTCTTCCATTAATGCAGTGTTTCCCAAACTTCTCTCATGATGAGAATCACCTGGTGGAGTTGTTAAAATACAGATTCCTGAATCCCAAGTAAGAAGTGCTAAACTAGAATTTTTGGGAACATATAGGTAAAATAAGTACTAGAATTTTTGGGAACATATAGGTAAAATAAGTACTAGAATTTTGGGGAACATATAGGTAAAATAAGTATACAATTTTACCTATATGTTCCCAAAAGTTCTAGTTTAGCACTTCTTAGTTGGGATTCAGGAATCTGTAGTTTAACAACTCCACCAGGTGATTCTCATCATGAGAAAAGCTTGGGAAACACTGCATTAATCTCTATGTCTGTTCTTAGGTCAGTACCATACTCTCTTAAATACTGTAGTCTTTTGTACATTTTGAAATCAAGAAGTATAAATCCTTCAAATTTCTTTGTTTTTAAGATTGTTTTTGGCTATTATGGGTCCCTTGCACTTCCATATACATTTTAGGATCAGCTTGTTAATTCTTGCAAAATAGCATGCTAGCATTTTGATAGGCATAGCATTGATTCTGATGATCAATTTAATTTTCATCTTAAAAATATTGAATCTTAATTTATGAACATGGTATGTCTTTCTATTGGGACCTTTAGTTCTCAGAGAAATGTTTTACTTTTAATATACAAGTCTGTACTTGTATATTTCTAAGTGTTTTATTCTCTTTCATCTGTTAATGAAAGGTATTGTTTTCTTAAATTTGTTTTTGGAATTGGCCATTGCTGTTATGCAGCCATAAAATTGATTTTTGCATGTGGATCATGTATACATGTGACTTTGATGAACCCACTTATAAGTTTTTAGTGTGTATGTATGTGTGAGTGTGTGTGTGTGTGTGTGTGTGTGCGCGCACGCGTGCGTGTGTGTAGGATATAGAAGATATTTCTACATAGAGAATTTTTCTACATAGATGATGTTTCTGCCTAGAGGAGTTAACTATACTTCAACTCCTTTTATCTCTGCTTATTTAATTTTCCTTAAAGCCCGCAGTCTTCATTCTAATGCACAGATTGTTAAATACTAGGCCCTCCAACACTATTCTAAATCCTCACTGTTCTGTTTAGACATCCCTGTGCAACACATCTCTCATTAGCTCTATGTCTTGCCTCATATTTCACAGAGAACACTAAGGATATCATAATGGATAGATTTACTGTGAATGAAATAATGTTTAAGTTTCAGAACCCTTTACTCAGGACCCCTTTTCAAGGTTCTTAGAGGGCCCCCAGCAAAGTAAGATAGTTTGATAGTAATTGGTTAAAAATTCTATCTTTTTCTACTCTGATTTCTCCTCTCCTATACTTCTGATGTCAATATGCCATTGTACTAGTCAGAAGCATTTGGGGGCTATAAGGGAAAGATGAATTGGGAATACTTCGTTATAACTGCCATTTAGAAAGACATTTTAGAATGGTTCAATAGCACAATTAAGGAATTACAGACTAAAATTTTGGATGTTCATGAATTCTTTAAAAGTAATAGAGTAAAAGCAATAAAAATAAGCAATTTCAGCAATAGAAATTATTCTGGCATAAACAAATTGTAATGATGCTTGTTCATGTTACATCACAAGCAAATGAATTAAGAGAAATATTTTTTCAATAAGAGGTCTTAGAGTATTTCATAATCCATTTAATGAAAAAGAGTTAATTATTTAAATATTTTGGAGAAACATTTAAGTTTCTTGCTAATTTGACAAAAACTACTAACATCACTGAATATAACATAAAAGTCGTATTATACCACTTCAAGGACATCTAAGATAAACTGGTTCATGAGTTTCATAATTTTATTTTTAAGCCCATCTTTTAAAAAATATTTTTTTATTGATTTCAGAGAGAAAAGGAAAGGGAGGGAGTGATAGAAACATCAATGATGAGAGAGAATCATTAATTGTCTGCCTTCTGCATGCTCGCTACTGGGGATTGAGCCCCCAACCTGGGTATGTGCCCTTGATTGGAATCAAACCCAGGACCCTTTAATCCACAGGCTGACACTCTATCCACTGAGCAAAACTGGCTAGGGCTCATTTCATTCTTTCAAAGAATAAAATAAGACTAGTTATTTTCAAAAAATAAAACTTGAAATGCCAAAAACCTTATAATCATCTATGAAAAAAATTTGAGAAGGATTTTTCCAAATATGAGAGCAGTTAGTATTTAAATAACATCATCAATAGTGAGCTATGAAACTGAAAGATTTTTTTAAATTATCAATAATAAAAAGTTAATGGCCATGCTAGATGAAAGGCAGTATAATCTTTACATTTTCTCCAAATAAGATATTATTATAAAATGGTTCTCATATAAAAGGTGCTTATAGATCATGTAGCCAACAATTATAGGCAAAAGTATTGTGGAACTGTTACTTATTAAAAAAATTATATTGTTTTCCTTTATTTTGTGATATTGATGGAATTGATCAACTTTAAAATTCTTATTTTTAAATTTAATGATTTTTCTCATTCTATAACTAATTGCACACTTTTAAACCCAATTTTCTATGTCATCGTTTTTTGTATTTTTTTTTTTTGAGAAATCATACAAGATTTCGTCTCACAAAATCTTGCTCTTAACTGCTCTTAACAAACAAGTTTGAATTTTCTGTTTCCTGCCTTTCTCCCTACAGAGGCACCTGTATCCTCATTCAGTCTGTTCTGTATCACTCGAGAGCCTGCCTGTACGTGGCTTACACCAGGCCCATTAGCCCCTTAACCTTGACTTGGTTCATAGCTCTTGTCTGCCTCTGCCAGTTTCTTGCTACACATTCAGGTTTCCCACCCTCACTTTTGGCTTTCTTCAGTTAGTGATCTATTTGGACTCTTACTGTGCCTTTTTGAAATCAACATCTCTCTCTGCTCCCAGCTCTGCCTGCTGATTGAGGCATCCCCTGTTGCATCTGATCACTCGATGGGCCTTAATTACCGTGCAAAATCACACCACCCCTGTTCTTCCTGGCAAAAGCTAATCTTTTAGTCTCTGCTTTACTTACATCTGTCCTTTCTAGGACTTTGCACAAGAACCAAGTGCATCTCCTGGCTGTGTTTAGCCTATGTGACTGCACTCACACTGTGTCCAGCTGTGTACACACAGTCAGGTGTCTCCCATCCTAACAAACCATTCTGCTCTGTAGTGTCCTCTTTCTCTTCTTGCTGCCTCAGTCAGTATTCTCAATTGTAGCTACTGCATAGCCCCTGTTTACTCACTTCTGCTTTACTATTCAGTTCTTTCCTGCCTAATGCCTCTCTCTGAGATCACCTAACGCCCCCTTAATACCAGATACAATGGACTCTGTTCGCCTTTGTCTGGGGCCTCAAACAGTGGCCACTACTTTCTCCTTTAAACTGTCTTGCCCCTGGCTTTCCTGACAGTATTATTTTGGTTTTCTTCTAGCTCACTGGTTGTGCCTCCCAAGTCTCCTTTGAGGGATTGTTTTCTATTGAAGTCCCATAAATATTAATATTGTCCAGTGTTTTATCCTCAGCACTTCTTACTTCTTCATTCTTCCAACTGAATCATCTATTTTTTCATTCATTTATTTATTTGTCAATATTTGTTGAGCATGTATTGTGTGCTAGGTGCTAGGGAGATTGTGATGAACAAGACAGACATATATAGTGTTTGCATCATAGATCTTAAGTCTTCTCAGGGAAATAAATATTAACCAAATAATTACAGCTCCATGGATTCACTCATCATCTTTTTTATGATAATTACCAGGTCTATGTCTACATCTTTCTTGATTTTAGGTAAATTATAGTCAAGACATCTGAAGTTAAAACACACACACACACACACACACAAAAAAAAAAAAAAAAAAACACACAAAAAAAACCACTGTGATTATATTGAGCGATGGCATTTCGTGAAGCAGAACTGGATTAGTCATTTTTAAAGGTTTTGTTATTTTTACCCGAGGTTTTAAACTGCCTGTGGATCCATGGTATGCTGGGAGAATGCTATCTAAGAATCCAACGTTCTCATTTAGGCTCTGTGACTAAGTTACTTTTGACCTAATTTTCTTCACTTAATGTTTGCTGTTAATTTTAAAATATTAATAGAATCATCCTATGTAATAATTCTATATAATAAAAGGCTAATATGCAAATTGTCCTCCTCAACCGAGAGTTCAACTGGGAGTTCAAGTTCAGCCAGGGTCTGGCCAACCTCCCACATCTCTTCTTCCCTAGTCTGACCCAGTCAGCCCTGATTGGGATGGGCTAGCCGGACCCCACTCATGCAGGAATTTGTGCACTGGACCTCTAGTTGCATATAAAAATGACTGTCTTTATAGTTAAAATGATAACAAAGTGGAAATGAGTTAGGAAAACCATACACCTGAGGCTTTCTGGGATGTTTCCAGTTTATATCTGTCAACTCAGCAAAATACAAACAGCACATGACTTTTAAAATTGTCCCCATTTAGACAGTAGATTATAGTCACTCTAAACCCATCTTTCAAAGAAAACTTTTTTCAAAGAAATATGTTACTATGCTTACAATTTTAAAAATCCTTTGTTTTTACTACCTTACAGTCAAAGATTGTTGGAATACAGATATTTTTGGAATAAGACACTCTCATTACTTACTTTTACTAAAAGGGAAATAACCAGCATTAAAAATGAAGTATATGACCATTTTCAAAACTGGACTTCACTGAAAGGAGAAGTTTTTCTTCAAATTAAATACATAAGTGAAACAGCCTTGACAGGTTTGTTACATACATGTAGAATGTAATTGTCTTTTTTTTTAAGTAGTACATCATGATTAATAAAATACTGATACTGCATTTTATGCGATGGGACTTAACGATGAACTTTGAAACTTGTTATTGGCTGACAGACTAGAAGGTCATTATGGCCTGAAATTCAGTAAATATAGGCTGGTCTAAGATAAGCTGTGAAATATCTATTCTTGAGCTGTGGACAGAAGTCTGGTTATTTCTGTTAACTGTACCGATTTGCATTTTAAAACGTTTTCTTCTATTAATAGCTGAGTAGCTCATATTAGGTCAGCCTTCCCACAGATAACAATGATAAATTTGGGACAAAATAATTATCCCAAAATACTGTATAGTGACCTAAACCAGGCACATATGGTGAAAATGTCAAAAATTGAGAGAAGGCATATTCCTAAGTGAAAAAAAAAAAAGCCAATCTGAAAGTCTGTACCGTAAGATTCCAACTAAATGACATTCTGGAAAAGGCAAAACTATGGAAATGGAAAAGGGATCAGTAATTGCCAGGGTTAGAGGGAAGGATGAATAGATAGATTGTGATGAAGTTCATAAAACTTTAGAAAAGTTCATAAAACTTTAGAAAGAAAAAACGCTGTAATTTTCCCTCAGACCTAAAAAGGATTTTTAGGGCATTGAATCACAAAGGATTTTTAGGGCAGTGAATATTTTGTATGATACTATAATGGTAGATACATGTCATTATACATTTGTCAATACCCATCGAATGTACAACAGCAAGAGTGAATATTGATGTAAACTGTGGATTTTGAGTGATAATAATGTGTCAATGCAGATTCATTGGTTATGAGAAATTTACCATTCTGGTATAGGATACTAATGGTAGATTATAGCCTTTATTTATGTGATTATGTCACTTTTAACAAAGGCACCAAATAATCCAATGGAAAAAGAAAGTCTATCACTAAATTGTGCTGTAACAACTGAATACCCATATAGGAAAATATACCTTAATCCCTACGTCACATAGTAGATAAAAATTAATTCAACATAAATCACATAATTAAGTATAAAAGCTAAAATTGTAAAATAAGAAACAGGAAAATGTCTTCATAAATTGATAGTAAATAAAAGTTATTTGGATAGGGCATAGAATTAAGAGCTACAGAAGAACAAAAATTGATAAGTTAAACTTTATCAAAAATTTAAAACTGCTGCTCATCAAAGATGCCATTAAGAAAATGAGCAGATAAGTCATAGACAGAGAAAATGTTAAAAAACAACAGCACTGGAGAGCATATGCAAAGCAAAATAAGCTAGTCAGAGAAAGATAAATATCACATTATCTCACTCATTTGTGGAATATAATGAACAACATAAACTGATGAACAAAAATAGATCCAGAGACAGAGAAGCATCGATCAGACCGTCAAACCTCAGAGAGAAGGTAGGGGAGGGTGGATTAAGGGGGAGAGATCAACCAAAGAACTTGTATGCATACATATAACCCTAACCAACGAACAAGACACCAGTGCGGTTAAGGGCATGAGTGGGTGGGGGGGGATGTACAATGGAGGGATAAGGACACATATGTAATACCTTAATCAATAAATTAAAATTATTTTAAAAAGGTGACAACAAACTGCTGTACAGGTTACATTAAAACAAGTCAGCCCTTGCCGGTATTACTCAGTGATTAGAGCAGGCCCGAATATTGAAGGCTTGTGGTTTTGATTCCCAGTCAAGGGCTCATCCAGGACTCAGGAAGGGCAAATTTGGGAGGCAACAGATGATGTATCTCTCTCACATAGACGTTTCTCTCTCTCCCCCCTCCCTCCGTTCCATTCTCTCTAAAAATCAATGGAAAAAAATATTCTCAGGTGAGGATTAACAACATAAACACACATGCACACACACACACACACACAAAAAAAAACACATCTATAAGTCAACAATAAAACGACAAAAAATTCAATTTAAAAAATGGCTAAAAGATTTTATCAGACACAAGGAAAGATACAAATGGTCAATAAGAACATTAAAATGGACTCAATATTATCATTCATAAGGGAAATGCAGATGTCATCAGTACATACCCATCAAACTGAGTAAAAAGAAAAAGATTGACAATAAATATTGGTAAGGAAGGAAAATAATGGAACTCTTACAAATTGATGAGAGTATAAAATGATATAACCACTTTGAAAAAATGTATGATGTGCTTTCTAAGACTACAGAGACTTCTTTCTGATAACTCTGAAATTTTTCATTTTGCCAGTTATACACTCCAGAAAATGAAGGCATATGTCCACAAAAAATACTGAATATAAAAATATTCAACACCTTGATTCAGGCTTTATTTAAAATAGCCTTAAACGGGATAAACCCAGAATTAAATTAGAATAGATTATAAAAACAAACAAACAAACAAAAAAAACCTGAGTTAAAAAATGAACTATAGATGCTACTTAATTGTTGTTTTGATTTGCATCTCTGGGATGATTAGTGACTTTGAGCATGTTTTCATATGCCTCTTGGCCTTCTTTATGTCTTCTTTCCAAAAGTATCTATTTAGGTCCGTTGCCCATTGTTTTAATTGGGTAATTTATCTTTCTATTGTTAAGTTGTATGAGTTCCCTATAAATGTTATCAGAGATAACATTGGTAAGTATTTTTCTCCCATGCAGTGGGCTTTCTTGTTGTTTTGTTGATAGTTTATTTTGCTGTACAGAAGCTTTTTATTTTGATGTAGTCCCATTTGTTTATTTTCTCTTTAGTTTCCACTGCCCTAGGAACTGTATCAGTGAAGATATTGCTTTGGCATATGTCTGAGATTTTGCTGCCTGTGGATTCATCTAATATTTTTATGGTGTCCCATCTTATGTTTAAATCTTGTATCCATTTTGAGTTAATTTTTGTGTATGGTGTAAGTTGGTGGTCTATTTTCATTTTTTTTTTTGTATGTATCTATCCAATTTTCTGAACACCATTTATTGAAGAGACTGTTTTGACTCCATTGTGTGCTCTTGCCTCCTTTGTCAAATATTAATTGGGCATAGGATTTGGGTCGATTTCTGGGTTCTCTATTCTATCCCATTGGTCTAGATGTCTCTTCTTGTGCCAGTACCAGGCAGTTTTGAGAATAGTGGCTTTGTAATACAGCTTGATTTCTAGTATTGAGATACCTCCTACTTTGTTCTTCTTTCTCAGGATTGCTGCAGCTATTCAGGGGCTTTTTAAAAAATATATATATTTTATTGATTTTTTACAGAGAGGAAGAGAGAGGGATAGAGAGCTAGAAACATCGATGAGAGAGAATCATCAACCAACTGCCTCTTGCACACCCCCTACCGGAGATGTGCCCACAACAATGTACATGCCCTTGACCGGAATCGAACCCGGGACCTTTCAGTCCGCAGACCAATGCTCTACCACTGAGCCAAACTGGTTTTGGCATGGGGCTTTTTTATTCCAGATGAATTTCTGGAGAGTTTGTCCTAGGTCTATGAAATATGTCGTTGGTATTTTGATGGGGAGCACATTGAATCTATAGATTGCTTTGGGTAGTATGGACATTTTAATGATGTTGATTCTACCAATCCATGAAAATAGTATGTTCTTCCATCTATTTATGTCTTCCTTTATCTCTTTTTTCAGTGTTCTGTAGTTTTCTGAGTACAGGTCTCTTACCTCCTTAGTTAAGTTTATTCCTAGGTATCTTAATTTTTTTGGTGCTGTGGTAAATGGGATTGTTGGTTGTTCTTTTTATTTATTATATTTTTTAATTTATCTGGGTGACATTAGCTAATGAAATTATATTGGTTTCAAGTGTATAGTTCTATGATACTTCATCTGTATATTGCATTGTGTGCCCGCCAATGTTATCTATTTATCTTTACATTACTCACTATATATTTGACCCCCTTTACCTTCACTACCCTCATCCCCTTCCCTCTGGGAACCACCACCTTATTGTTTGGGCCTATGAATTGTTGGGTTTTTTTGTTTTATTTTGTTTTGTTTTGTGGTTGTTTTTTTATTGTTTCATGGAAATTTTATTTTATTTTTCTTCTTCTTCCCCCCCCTAATGAACTCCCCCATATCTTCCTTACCCCCCAATACATGCCCTCACCTGCCTCCCCCAGTGTCTTATGCTTCGGTTGTTTTTTTTTAATCTCTCTTCCTGTAAGTTCACTATTGGTGTATAAAAATGCCATAGATTTCTTGGTGTTAATTTTGTATCCAGCTATATTGCCAAATTCATTTATTAGGTCTAGTAGTTTTTTGATGGAGTCTTTAGGGTTTTCTATGTACAGTATCATGTCATCTGTGAATAATGACAGTTTTACACCTTCTTTTCCAATTTGGATACCTTTTTTTTCTTCTTGTCTAATAGCACTTTCAGTACTATGACGAACAGGAGTGGTGAAAGTGGACATTCCTGTCTTGTTCCTGTTCTTAGGTGAAATGGTTTTAGTTTTTGCCCATTGAGTATATGTTGGCTGTATGTTTGTCATATAAGGCTTTTATTATGTTGAAGTATGATCCCTCTATTACCACTTTGCTTAGGATTTTAATCAAGAAAGGGTATTGGATTTTGTCAAATGCTTTTTATGCATCAATTGATATGACTATGTGATTTTTTATCTCTCAATTTGCTTATGTAATGTATCATGTTTATTAATTTATGGGTGTTATATATCAATAAATCAACAAATGACAAGTGCTGGCGAAGATGCAGAGGAAAAGGAACCCTTGTGCACTGCTGGTAGGAATACAGACTGGTGTAACCACTGTGGAGAACAGTATGGAGTTTCCTAAAAAAGAAAACTAAAAATGGAACCACCATTTGATCCAGTGATCCCACTTCTAGGAATATATCCCAAGAAACTAGAAACATTAATTATAAAGGATATATACACCCCTATGTTCATAGCAGCACAATTTACAATAGCTAAGGTTTGGAAATAGCCTAAGTGCCCATCAGCAGATGAAAGGATTAAAAAACTGTGGTACATCTACACAATGGTATACTATACTGCTATAAAAAGGAAGGAACTTTTACCATTTGCAATAGCATGGATGGAACTGGAGAGCATTATTGCTAAGTGAAATAAGTCATTCAGAGAAAGATAAATATCACGTGATCTCGCTCATTTGCGGAATATAATGAACAACATAAATTGATTAACAAAAACAGATCCAGAGACAGAGAAATATTGATCAGAGCATCAAACCTCAGAGGAACGTAGGTGAGGGTGGGGGTAAAGGGGAGATCGACCAAAGGACTTGTATGCATGCTTATAAGCATAACCAATGGACACACCAGGGGGGTGAGGGCATGAGCTGGAGGTGGGGGAAGGACAAGTGGAGATAAGAATGTATATGTAATACCTTAATAAAGAAAATTTTAAAAATGAACTATAGAATGAATTGCTGATAATAAGGAATTTATATATTGAGGGATAATTATTGATATGCATGCTGAATGAAGTGTTTAGGAGTGAGTATACTAATATCTCTATTTATATTGAAATACATAAAATATGATAGGATTGATGGGTAGCTATGTGAGAAAGCAAATATAGTAAAATGTTAATTGAAGAATCTACATGGTGTGTATATTTTTGTTCACGTATAATTCTTCCCACTTTTCTGTATGTTTTAAAATTTTTATATAGTTTAATGTTAGAAAAAAAATTTTAACCATACAACTTCAGTTAACTAATTTTGTTAGATGTTATATGGCTTCAAGAAATGAGTTTGTATATGATCAATATCTTTTTAAATTTTAAAATTTTAATAATTAAATTCGGACAAATGCAGAGGGTGGTCCTGAAACAGGGAAAGCACAAGGCAGGAACAATGACCAGAAAAGGTTGGTCTGGTGGAGATCATAAGTTCTGAACCCCAAATTGGGACACATGACTGACAAGCATGAAATTGCTTTAATGATGAAAATAGGATTGAATATTTGACACCAGATTGCCACAGGGATCTGTAGTTTGCCGTGGTTAAGTTAATTCACCTCCCTTGAGTTTACTCTCTTAATCCCATGTAAGAAACATTGAAGCTCTTGTTAGTTTTGAAATCTTGCTGTACTTTTCCATGTGTTAGAATATATTTGACAAATGAATCTGCATTGCTGATTCTAATTCTTTTAATGTCATACTGAAAGTCATGTTGACACGAATAGTTGGTTTAGAGACAGACGGTTGTGCCCACTACCAGTCAGCCTGCTAGCCTAGGCGGCATCATTCTGGCAGCATGTGCCCCTCTGCAGTGTCATGCTGACTCGAGCATAGATGGTTAAAGTACAGTACATACAAGTTAGTCACAAGACACCATCTTTATTAAAAATACGCAGGAAGACTTTTCAGATCTGAAAAAAAAATTACAACGTTCTTTCTAAATCTCTATGTGTTAGTTTTTCTCACATAAATGTGTGCACATTTTTAAGTTTTTAGAAGCATATAACTGTTCTTAAGAAAAATGTTTTTATGCAATTACTGGAATATGGTAGACCCCAATGGCTCCTGCCAATTTATTTCCCCAGCCTTCCATTATAAGCAAGAATTAAAAGTACAGAAGGCACCAGACCTAGGTCTGTCTTACATGCCACTTTGTCTTCCAGACAAATGTTTTCCCACACAAAGACATTTTGCTTCTCTCTCCTTGGACCATGTTCCTGACTGTACTCACCACCTCCTTTAAGATGTGCCCTGGTCCAGCACACTGCTTTACTTTTCCAATAGGCATTTCCTGGCCATATTAGCTGCTGCCGGGTCTGTCCCATTGATCTCTGCTTCTGGTCCTCACTGGCCCAAGGGCTGCTGTTTTTGTTGTATTGGCTCCACAACCAATAAACCAAGCCAACCTCCTTTGACATCTAATCACATGTTACATCCATCATGTGGCCCAGAATGACCTAAGCAAGGAAAGGAATGCCAAATGAACTCTCTGGAAAGCAGGCTGTCCAGATTTTCACGTATTCATCATTTCAATTAATGGTGGTTGTATAAATTTTGTAGTATTTTATCATTATTGAGTGTGTTTATATATCTTCATAGTGAGATTTAAGGCAGCATTGCTAAAAAGGCTGATGAAAGGATAGCTTGGTAATAAATTACCACTCTGAAGGATAGCATGCTCCATGCATTTCTCAATGAAATTATATAAAGTTAGAGGCCAGTTGCATGAAAGTTTGTGCAAGAGTAGGCCTTCCTTTCCCTGGCTGCCAGCACTGGCTTCCCTCTGGCACCTGGGATCCAGGCTGCTTTGCTCCAGCTGCTACCGGCAGGCACCTGGGTCCCAGCCTTTTCTCTGGCCCTGGCTTTATCCAGATGGACATCTAGAATGACGCCTGGAAGGACGTTTGGTCTACTTAGCATATTACCCTTAATGCTGTGAAGGCCTATTTTTATTGCTTTAAGTAGATAGGAGAATGACAAATGATTGCCATAATGAAATTCTGGTCTCATTTTGAGGGGATAGAGTATTGTTAAAATATATTAACTAATACTTTATGTCCATAAATTCATTAGTTTTGGACATTGCATCTTTCTATTCCTTTCCACCCTTATTACTTTTCTCAAAATTTACTTTTTTTAAAAAAATTTATTGTTGAAAGTATTACATATGTCTCTTTCCTCCCCCCTCCCCCTTAATCCCCTCCAGCCTGTCCCCACCCTTCACCCCAGACTTTCACCACCTAATTGTGTGTCCATGGGTTATGCATAAATACATACAGCATCTTTGATTGATTATCTCCCAAGCCAGCCACCCTCCCTGACCTTCCCTTTGAGATTCTGCACTCTGTTCCATGCTTCCATGTCTCTGGATCCTCTCTCTTCATCAGTTTATGCAATTTGTTTAGATGTATGCTAGTTACTCTCCTAGAAATGCCATTCAGCCAGCTCATGCTAGCACATTTAAATTTACCTTTCTGAATCATGTTGCCAAGAAAACAATTTAATTTCAGTAAAACCCAGAACAGATATGTTACTCATTTATTTGAGTATTTAAAAAGCAGGCCAAATTGCCATTTAGTACAACTTTAAAGACAAAAAAAAAAAAAATCCCAAACAACCTAAAAGGTATAATGCATAGTTTAGCAACACAATTCTTTTTCTTTTTCAGAATAACCATGAAAGCTTTGGGTTTGGTGTCATTATACTCTCAGGAAAGTCATCTTGGCTTTCAAATATTAATTTTCTAAAAGAAAATAGTCACTTTTTGGACATTATAATTCAGTGTTGTCTATTTGTAAACTCTGAATTTTCTTTACAGAAATAGAGATACTGAATAAAAGTCTGGCAGTGGCCCACAGAAATAAGGTATGCCTAGAAGAGGAAATGAAAAGCCTCAAGTTGCTGTCAGATGCAGCCATTCTGAGGTCTCAGCAGATTGAGACCGCTAAACAACAGGAAGTGAACCTGCAAACCAGATGCCATGACTTACAAAAAGATATCCTAGGTAAAAGATTTTTTGTGTATGTGGTTGGTAGCAACTGTCTATAATAAATGTCTAAATTTTTATTTCTCTTAAAAATCACAATAAAATCATTTTTTATTACCTTGTGTTGCAAATATGCCTAATTATTAGTAACTATGCCAATGGCTGTCTTTGATCCATGTTCATTGTCATTCCTTCCTAGTCTATTTAGAATGGCAAGGCAAGTGAAGATAGTAAAGATGTTTTAAGACTTCAGGAAAACAAAGCAAATTTACTTTAATGTGTCATTATCCCAGTGGATTGGTGGCTTAGCACACTGAAGGAATCCCAAGTTTTCAGGCACTCCATTTTCCCAAATGAAAATATTAAAATTGTGATTTGGGACCTTGTTTCCCTCTACCTCAGAGGAATGGGTGCCTTGGCAATAAGGCTATGGAGTATGCATCTTTTCCTGAAAGCACTGTGGAATCACTGAGAATTGATAATTATGAGAATGATATAATAAAAGCAGTGTTTTAGCAAAACTAAGCTATTAGCAATGAATAGAGGTGTTCCAAATATCAAGTGATTGGAGCCAGATAATTAGAAAATGTCTTTATTGCTAACCCAGCCCCTAGACTAACCATAAGAACATTTTTAAGGACCCAGTGTGTACTAGTCACCATGCTAGCACTGAATATAAGATAATTGTGTCAATTCTCACAGTGACCATGGAAAGCAAGTATAAGTACAATGTCTTACAGAAGAGAGAATCAAGGGCCAGAAAGGTAATATGCCTGTCCACCCCTAGCTGGTAAATGGCAGGGAGTGAAAGCAAATCAACCCTTATGCTCATCTCCTTGGCCCTTGTTATGTTGAGATGCATTATCTCCAGAATAACTTTGATGAGAATTTTTTTTTATCATAAATGGATTTGTATTGTGTCAAGTGCATTTTTGCATTTATTGGGATGATCATATAATTTTTATTTTCATTTTATTAATGTGGTAGAGCACATTGGTTAATTTAGGGATGTTGAACCATCCTTGCATTCTGGAACAAATCCCTGTTTGCTAGTATTTTATTGAGGATATTTTAATTGAGTTCATCAGTGATACTGGCCCATTCTTTTCTTTTCTTGTAGGATCCTTATCTGGTTGGTATCCGGGTAATGATGGCCTAGTAAAATGAGTTTGGAGAAATATAATCTTTATACCCTAAAACTTTAAACTTATGCCGAATACTATATTATCATGTGTTTTCTTATAAACACATTTTAAAGTTGTTCTAATAGTTTAAATACTATTTTACATTTATATTTTATTCTCATACCTGTTACTTTTAGACTTCACTTTTAAAGTAAGTATCTTTCTCTATTTTAAGCTATATAAGTATACCTCTTTTATGTCTTCCAGCCTCTGCCCCCAATAATGTGGTACTAATTGAAAGCTTTCTAGGCCAAGAATTAGAAGGCGATGACCCTACATACATTAGCCAGATAATTCTGACATGCCACTCATTCCTGATAAGTAATGGGTTCACACCTAGGCAACTGATTTGTTGAACTGTAATACACTGTGTTTATAGTTCTTGAAGACCCCTTTAGGCTTTCTTTAATACACTGTAATTCTGGTACAATTGGTTCATTTCCAAAGTTAAATAAATGCTTGTTTTTTCATTTTAAATCAACCTTGAACAATTTCAACTTTGATTCAGGTATATAATCTTTATGATTATTAATTTTCTTTTTTTTTAAAATATATTTTATTGATTTTTCACAGAGAGGAAGAGAGAGGGATAGAGAGTTAGAAACATAGATGAGAGAGAGTCATCGATCAGCTGCCTCTTGCACACCCCCTACTGGGGATGTGCCCGCAACCAAGGTACATGCCCTTGACCGGAACCTTTCAGTCCACAAGCCGACACTCTATCCACTGAGCCAAACCAGTGCCAGCATGATTATTAATTTTCTTCATAAAAAAGTTTTAATTTGATTTTCCCCACACTTTCTCTTTATTTATTCTTTGAAATACAGACACTCAAAAATTTAAATACAAATGATAACTCTGGTGCATATGGTTTAATACTACCCTGTTTCCTCGAAAATAAGACAATGTCTTATATTAATTTTTGCTCCCAAAGATGCACTAGGTCTTATTTTCAGGGAATGTCTTATTTTTCCATGAAGAAGAATACGGTACACATTTATTGTTAAATGAAAATAAAGGAAATATATTACCTGTATACGGTACGGTAGTACGGTAGTTGTCAACACAAACCAGACAAACTGTGAATCCTACGGTATCAAGAATTTACTCATTTATTCAATGACAATCATGTCATTATCTTCTGAAACATCATCATAACAATTCAGTTCCTGAATTTCCTGGTGAATTTCTTGTGACTCCATTTCTTTCAGAATCAGTGGACCAAATCTCTCATGTTTAGCCAGGGGGGAGGGGGGGTGTTATTTTCAGGGGGATGCCTTATATTTCACTCAGAAGGAAACCTGTAAGTAGGTCTTATTTTCGGAGGATGTCTTATTTTCGGGAAACACGGTAGTTTAGGAGTAAATAATAGACTGTCAATAGCAGTCTATCTCTTAATGCCAAAATTTAATCTTTTTTCATAAGAAAATAAACATGAAATAAAATTTTAAAGACTAAGTTTACTTTTAAAGGTTTATTTACATAAGTTTTGTAATTTTATGTTTAGGTCACACTAATATAACCTCCAAAATGCACAATTTATCTCATTTGACAACATTCCGCTCAGAGGTCATTGTGACCCACAAATCAGTCCACTTAAATAGTTTCTTTCCACCTCATAGAATAAAATGTCTTTTACTTTTGTCAGTAGTCACAAATATTGGAAGACAGAATTCAGATAAATTACTTCAGCATTAATGTTTGTCCAAAAACTTATTTGACCAACATTTAAATTTATTCCAAGTGGGAAAAAGTCAGTGTTTTTCCCACCAGTATGCTCTTTGGCATAATAAGTAATATGCCGATATTTTAATAACATTATTTTGCCTATAATATTTTTCATCTTTATTGAATTTTTAAAAATAGCTTTAATGATAAAAATTTAAATATCATAAAATTCACCCGTTTTAAGTATATAATTTTAGTATATTTATATCAATAGTTATATAATCATAATCATGATGTAATTTTAGAGCATTTCTGTCACCTAAGAACAAAACTCAATGTCATTAACAGTTGCTCTGTTGCCTATCTGCCCCCTGCCACCCAATCTTTAATCTACTTTCTGACTCTATAGAGTTGCCTATTCTGGACATTTCATATAGTAAGAACCATACATTATGTGTTCTTCCATGCCTGGCTTCTTTGACTTAGTATAAAGTTTCTGAGGTTCATCCATGTTTTTGCATGGATGAGTACTATATTCCTTAGTTAATAGCTTCTTTATTAAAGTGGGGGGGAGGGGGAATCAGAATGAGTAATGTTCAGTAGAAAAAATAATTGATCGAGGAGACAAAGACTTCTGCTTTCTGGCCCTGTTTATGCCTTTTACAGCCCCTTTGGACAACTTACTAATTCCTTTGACTCAGTTACATCATTGGTAAATGAAAATATGATAGCTTTCCCTGCCTACCTTAGAGCAATAGGAGAATTAACAAGATAAAATATAGGTACCCCTAAATAAGTATAGAAATATTATATTGGCTGAAACCGGTTTGGCTCAGTGGTAGAGCGTCGGTCTGTGGATTGAAGGGTCCCAAGTTCAATTCCGGTCAGAGGCATGTTTGTTGGTTGCGGGCACATCCCCGGAAGGGGGTCTGCAAGAGGCAGCTGGTTGATGTTTCTCTCTCATTGATGTTTCTAGCTCTCTATCTCTCTCCCTTCCTCTCTGTAAAAAAATCAATAAAATATATTTTAAAAAAGAAATATTATACTGCATATTCCTGGTGCAAACCAAATTATAATAATTAGGATCAAAGTTTCAGAATTTCCTTAAATGCTCCTGTAATAACAAAGGAAAATTATACATTTTATTATTTTTTTTAATTTTACTGATTTCAGAGAGGAAGAGAGAGGAAGAGAGAGAAACATCAATGTTGAGAGAAAATCATTGATTGGCTGCCTCCTGCACGCTCACGACTGGGGATGGAACCCGCAACCTGGGCATGTGCTCTGACCGAGAATGTAATTGCGACCTTCTGGTTCATAGGTCTACACTTAATCATGGAGCCATGCCAGACAGGAAAAAAGCATACATTTTAATACCTGTTACCCAAAGGTTCAATTGTTTCCACTAATATATCTTTCGGTCAGCTTTGGTTAGCTGTAACAGTCAGTAGGCTGTCTGCTCTTAGAACAGGTTGTTGAAAAGGAATGGCTATGATTAATTGGTGTCATCTGTGGAACAGTGGATAAAGGTATCTATGAACAGAATTCTACTGTGACCTTTCCTGGCAGATATGAAGTTTCAGAGGGAGCTCACTGTGGTGAATTGACCACTTTTTATGATTCCTATCAATCCTTAGGCTCCAGTAGGAATAATGTAACTTGGGCTTCCAATAAAAAGGGAGAAGTGCTGATTTTACAAACAGAAAACCAAAGCAGTTTGTACTGATCCTTAGTCACACGAAATCAATAGCCCTTAAAAGAGACTAGCTTAATATTGGGACACTGTGGGCTGCTGCTTCTCTACCCAAAAGCAAGGGAACACAAAAAATGCACACAGTTCTCCTAAGGTTAGTAAACAAATTGCAAGACAGATAGTCCTGACTGGAACCCAGAGAGTTCATTCATAGGACCAGGCCACCATTGGAATATAGCATCCAATGCAGGGGTCTCCTGTAGGAAGCTACTTGGTCTTTGGTCAGTGAAATCTTATAAGATTATCTTCTTTGCCTTTTTTATTTGCTCCCAACTTTAAGTTTTCATGTAAAGTTACTTCTATTTTTGTATTATCTTCATTTTGCAAATGTTTAATTTGTAAAATGAGGAATTTTAGAGGAATTTTCTACAGTGATCTCGAGCGCGCATGACTTGGGATGGATGTCTCACCTG